TCATGATTATCTTTCAGACAATAACAAAAGTTCTCATATTATTCGAAGTATGGACCAATGCCAGAAATTAAAGCTTGAGAATTAGATTTAACCAGTTTAGTTAATAATGTGGAAAGTTAACAACGACTTGTCCCTGACTGGGTTGAACCCACGCGGCCAAACACATTTTAATATGTTTGTCCTAAAGATGGCAACATCAACTGCTTTTTCAGTACTTTGGCAGTCCTTATTCATCTATTTCATTAATTATACATGTTTAACGCCAAAGGAGAAGAACAAAGAAATTTTCTTAACAATCAAATCATTTTTATAAATTAGAATCATGATATAATACAAAGTTAACTTCCGATAAAATAAAGAATGATGGTCATAATATCTGTCAAGCTGCTATCAGATTTGTCTTATAATATCGTACAAATAAAAAATCAATATTTGTTCTTGTTACTTACATAGATTACATTATTTATTCAGTTTTTAGTCATTATGTGTTTTGAAGCATTTATTCTCTAAGATTGCCCTTTATAAAGATTTTTTCTGGATAGTTACAAAATAAGTTATACTTAAATTAAAATTAAAGATTCGGTGCTACTGAGATTGTTCAAGCGAGTCATAGAGAGTATAACATTTCTTCTCATATCTCTTTTCTCTGGCTAAAACACTATTCAAACTTCAACAAGACATTTAAATTCATACATCAAATATCAAATTATTTTTTATATTTTCAAAGATTATTATTTATTATCATCAGATATTTTACTATATCAAATAAACGTGAAGGACAACATTCTGTATTGAAATACACTAGAATACAATTTGCACCACAAAAACGTCTCGATCTGTCAATTTTTTTACAAAATACATGGTATTCTATGTATCTTCCTTTCGTACAGTTATACAATTCACCAAATTACGTGATTGAAATGATAAAAAACAAATGAGCCGCGTCATGACAAAACCAACATAGTAGGTTTGCGACCAGCTGGGATCCAGACCCTTTTACAAGTAGAGAAACTGATAGCGAACAGCATGGATCCTGATCAGACTGCGCGAAGGCGCAGACTGGTCTGGATCCATGCTGGTCGCAAACCAACTATGTTGGTTTTGTCATGACGCGGCTCAAATATCGTTCTCATTGAAACTAAAACTTTATTTTAGAGGCGTAAATCGGATAATACAACCAACAGGTGTTAAAAATAGATTAATGTTATGATTAATAAAGGTTTTCTTTTGCTAAAGGAACATTTATACTCTCTATCAATATACACTTATTCTTTATAACGTTCGAATAATTTTATTATCATAGGGAGGCCATCATAAATGTAAAATATGTATAAGATACGAACGCAATTGAGTTATATTATCGAAATACATATCGACTTTGTTATATATTCAAAGTCTTTCATTTTATAGCACAAGCATGCAAATAGAAATTCTATTCACTTCAGATGAAGAATATAGTTAGAAATATGCATTGTGTATACAAATACAACTTATCATGTAGGATACACAACATAATATATATTTTTCGGCGGTTTTTGCATGTCGATTATATTTCTTAATTGCTTTCGTATCCAGTACATATTTCGCCTGTTTGATGAGTGGTTTGCCTAATATATAATATAATACATGTATATTATTAAATAAAGATAAAAGCTAGTTGTGATGATTAACTATTTTACATATAACATTTATGCTGGATCTTAAAATGGTTTGATATTCAAAGTAAACCCTTTTTATAATCTGTGAGTAAAGCATTTGATACAGTGTGTAATAAGCTTTCATTACGCTTTATTGAAAATAAAAAAAAACAAGTGAAAGAACAAATATTTTTTCAACTCATTGACAAGAAAGCAAACATGTCGATCTATCAGAATCTGTATTGAAAATGGAAACATGTTGACAAAAACAATAGACAATAATGCTCTCTCAATGACAACGTCCCATCGAACCAATAACACGGAACTTCTATATTTTTCAGCAGTATTCAATCTTTGACAATGTAATATACTGTCCACGCTTGACGTCTAATCTGTTTGTGTCTGGAATTATACATAATAATTCAATTTACGTGTCCTAACAAAGAAAGAAACAAAAAGAAATGAATGTGAGAGCTTCGCTGTCATTTATGCAATCATGTCATTTCATTTCATGACACTAATTCCCAAAGCTGACATGTTGTCTGTTTACAACGCTGTTTTAATGAATTCTTATCGTCGATATTCAATTATTCTTTTCTGCACGAAATCTGCTGTGGTCATAGTATAATTTTTACAATAGCTTTAGCTCTTACATTTGGTTTGCTATTGCTGATCATGGCCATGCAACTTCATAGTTAGGTAAAGAAGCAGACGCTTGTTTTGGTTGAGTCTATTATGTTTTGTTTAGGGGGTGAGTTGTCATACACAAATTTACAATTTATATGCATTTATTTTTTTCCAATGATTGCTATTATCTTAAATGCTTCTGGGATTGTTGTTTTATCAATTCATTTGTAAATAAGATTGTTATATGTCTATTAACGGTATAATTTTGATGAACACGAAATTAGTTCACACCTTTATGTGTATTGATAACGTGATGGTTTAAGCCAATGAAAACACATCAATATTATTACAATCAGGCAGAGAAAAAGTTTGCAAAGAGTAAATCGATAATCTTTATGTAGCAAACAAACTTTGATTTGGAAGTATTTTTTTTTCATATCTTTTCGGCCGGTAAACTGTCCGAGGAGGGCCAGGCATTTTCGTATCGTAAAATGGCTGCCATTTACAGTATCAAGTGATTATCCCAAGCACCACCGCGACTTAGCGCGGGAATTATAAATATAGCTTACATAGGATTGAAAATACCTTTTTCATATTTTATAGTAATAAATATTTACAAAATGTGTCTTTCGGGTTTTTTATCAATATACATGTATAACCAATAATGATGTTTATATGAATAAATAATCATATCTCAAATCTGTGACTATGACTTACAATGAAATTCTACCTTAAGTGTATTAAAAAGGTTTTTAATTTCCTGTAATTTTATTCTGTGATTATGCTTCAAAGCAGTCAATTGACCGTGAATTGTCTTTTCATATTTTGATTTCCTTGAAATCATTTTTCTCATCTGAAGGCATTCAACTTTAATATGATGATACATTAATTACATTCCATGAAAATGTTTAAAGATATAAAATATCTCATGACATGTTTGTTCATTTTACATTACACCTTTAATGCAGCAAACACAAAAAGTAGTATGCAGTCGTACCTATATTACATACGAATGTATGTAACATTTTTTCTTGTTATACATTTACTAAGTCATCATGACTAATGATTTCAAGATGGTTGCAATATGACGATATATGATTTTTTCCTAAATGGGGATAAGGCATATCATCTTTATAATTATATTAATAATTATGTTCATAAAAAGCATGTGATTTCCATTGGAAGTGGATTTTGATTACAATTATGATATTTGATTTAGATTTCTGATATATCAGACTTGGACTTGACCAAAATATTGACATATTTACTGAACAAAATGATATCATATTTGAGGAAACACGAACTCTAGCAATCACTGTCTTATATGTATCGTTATATAATAAAACATAATTAAGTACTAATCTGACGTTTGGATTATACACATTAGCAAGAATGACAGTGCAAACAAAAGCAGATAATGGCATTTAAGAAGTTTGAAGTTAATTGCTTTTTTATAACAACCTAATGCAGAAAATAACTTTCCATTTCATACATAAATCTTTATTTTACTTTGCATTTTTTTGTTTTTTTTTTCGTTTTTTGTTTTGCAATAGCAAAATTACCTTATTATAAATTATGATGATAATGTTCATCATGTCCTTTGTAACAAAAAACAATACGGCATGCGCCTTAAATAGACGAAATTCACAATATATTCTTTGGAGCCTGTACATTTTGCTCGATACATTTTCTATACTAGACCATTCAATTTGAAAATATCTTGCCTTTACAACGTCTGTTTTTTTACCTGCAAAGTCATCGGCCATTATAATCACATAATTCCCAATATCTCTTGATTAATCCTGGCAACAATAGACTGACTGTTATTTTCAGCACTTTTTACATTGTTTCTTGGACATTCTACATTTACCAGTGTATATCCTGAATATTTTTAGATACTTAGATTATTTCAAGATACAGAATAACAAAAAGCAAATTATTTATTTTCATGTGTCGCTTAACAATTCGTCTTTAAAATAATGAAATAATGAGTAAGGACGTTTGTGTGTGGAAGGTGTGGGGATGTTGTGAAAAGGATTTTAATATGAATTGTTATATTTCCAATAAATTATTTAGCTACATTAGAACGTACGTTGTTAAAATTCAGGAATTGTGAATAGTCATGGAATATTTGTACTGTATGTTTTGGAAACGTTAATTAATATACCAACAATTGTTATTGTCAGACTGAATTTAATTTTTTTAAGCAGTGTGCGAATTCAAAATGATTTAAGACTTTGTGAATTGCTTAGCTCTTAATTTCTTTGAGTGGGATGCGTTTATAAAAGATTGCCACGTTTACGTTTCGATTTTTATCTTCGTTTAATAAGTTCTTTCATTTATGATATTTGGTTTGAGTTCAAAAAGATACCAAAAACTTTTCTGGAAATCTTTCATTTACGTCTGAAATTCATTTTTAATGCACACAAAAATGTAGGACGTTATTGGAATAACATATTTATATCGGACATTTATCAAATATTAAAACAACTAGGATCGTCTCATTGATGATTGAAATCATTTCTTGGCACATAATAGCCATATAGATCACCAACGACATACTTATTTACATTTCTTAAGATAACCTATTATCATTTTACAATGCCACGTTTTTATCTAGACTTCTAAACTCATATTTCATATGTTTTGAAGAGGTAAATGTTTCTGTGCCTACAATCTTTATCAGGCAATCTTGTTTAATGTTCTGTGGGCGATAACGCTTGGTTTTCTTACAATCAATGTTTGCATATACAGTACACTCTTATACTTCCACTGAAAATCATCATGTGAATTGGAAAATGTTATCATGATGTTTGAATCAGTATTACCGAAAACGAACGCAAGAATTTTATCTGTTGTTATTTACAGTTAAATATGCATACATTTGGATTGTAAATCAATTTTTATCATGTAAGTTGAATTAAATTTTATTCTAATTTGTGAATTTGGAGTAGGATGAGAATTGACTTAAACAAAAATCAGTTTATAACTTTATTGTATCATAAATGTTAAGAACTCAAGGATGCTTTTCAAGTATTACGGTAAGTGGATTTTTAACTTTGCTGTCTCCTGCTACAATAAGCTTATCATACATTAATTATAATATTCTACAGATCTTTTAATAAATTAAAAGGTTTCGTCACATGTATACATTTATGCTTACCTAACATCATATTTAACTTGTGATTACACAAATAGTTGTTTATTTATATAAATAAAGTCTTGAAATGAATCACATAAATAAGATATGACAGATAAAATCATGTTATATATTTTATGTCATATATGTGTCTGTTATCTGGTATATTTTATAGTTTTCTTTATTTCACTCATAAATGTGGATCAAAAAGGGGAAACACAAAAGCAGCAATGCAACAACCATTTTAATTCCTTAATAAAATTAAATCTCATTCACATGAAAGAAGAACTGTAGAAAACTAATTATGAATTATCGGTTGTAACAAAACTATGTGAAGGAGAAACAGGTGTTTGCTACAAAATAATGTTATCAACATATTCATCATGGATCAAGCTAGCGCACTTATATCTTTTACATTCAATCTATGTCTATTAAATGATAAACAAACGATTTTCAAAACACATAAATCAAGTCGTTTCATTAACACTTCATTCTAGTTTTAAAAAAAAAGATAATTCGTGCTGATAAAACATTTTGATTTTCAACTTATTTTTATATCTTATTTATTGGCTGTGCAACTGTTGAAGTACATTCTTCTAGTATTAATTATACAATAATTTGTGCATTAAACAGTTGGAACGATTTGTAAATTTCGATTTTAATTGATGTTTCACTCCTGTATAAGAGGTATATTTCTCTGTTTATTTCCTCAATAAGCAATTATTAACTATAAATTAGAACTTAATGAATAACAATTATTTTTATGCTTATATAGTTCTTGTAAATAAAGATAAATCTTTATTTGTTGAATAAATATATGTAAAGCTTGAGTTTATATTCGGTAAACGATCATTTCTAGTGTCCGTGGCAACTCGATATCGCCTGATAGCCCTATCTAAGAAAGTTTTTGCAACAAGCGTGATAGTATTCAAATGTTTTATTTTTACTTTGGCAACCTTCCAAGACGGATGTAGTTGAACATTTTAATCTAAGGTCACTCTTCAATGATTTATATTAAAAATGATAAAAATAATAATGCATGAATTTATAATCAGACATCAACACAAACGCGTGGTCGTTCATATTGCATACTATACTTAAACTAACCACCAGGAAAAGCAATAAAAATCAGTTCCAAACGATAAAAATAAGTTCATTCAATACAATTTGTAATAATGTTTCCAGTAACTGTTATTGCAACGCCATCAAGATAATATGATGACACTTTTTTGTTTTTATATCTATCTCACTACAAAATCAAACTATCAGAAGGATATTCTGCAAGAATGTCCCGTTTTTTTGAAAACAGCTGCAAACCCATTAAAATTTCTATTTGCTTATAATGTTAAAACTTATAACAATTGATTTCAAAACTTTACAAGAATAGTGTAAATACTGCGATTAATTATTTAGGTTTGGATACGTCTTGCAAATGATGTCGATATTACTTGTATATTAAATTTATATTTTCTTTAATTAACTAATTTTGACAGGATATACACTTCTTCAAGAAAGTATAACTTTGTTTTCGTTTATTTGTTTCTTATTTAAGTTTGTGTAAAGACCCAGTTCTGCCTTTGCGATCCATTGATTTCCATTCACAATTGATATACATATACTGTCTCGTTTCAAAGGTTTTGTTCAAGAAACTAATCTTATAAAATTTGTCAGACTGCCAAACTACATAGGATTCTTTTTATACCTTTATAGTTCTTCATTTATCATATTAAGTGATAACATTTTTCATTTCAATGCTCTTTCATTTTTCCTCAACAAATGTGATGAAATACATTCTTGGCTTTCATTCATGCGTTGTTGATTAGATTGATTTGATTGGACACTGATCGGACATTGTTCATTTTCTATCCTTAATGATAAGAAAAAAAGAGTTTCAAACAGCAAGGGTCAACCTTTCAATTCAAATATTTTATTTATGAATGTTTTTACGTATGTTTATAGCCACGAGGGGAATTAACTGATTGCAATATCTTACCCAAATTTTAAACAAATAATCTTCTGCAAACACAAAGACAGAGGCAAAAAGCATATTGTTATCATATAAAAAGTCATTAAAAGAAACCCTTCAGTGACTTAATACGACAAAACTGAAAACCAAGTATAACATGGTATTAAACATTTCACATTCCTCATAATATAATATGCGACAATAAACCTATTAACAGACTTATTCAATATTATGAACGTGTGGTAGCAAAATGTTTCTAGATTACAATGGATGAAAGTGATAATCATATAGAGAGAAAAATTGACCAAAGTTGTTAATCAATTTGCATACAATTTAAAACTTGCAAAATCTTATCTTTCGAAACATTCTTGCAGGAATTTTCAGATATGTTTAAGAAAGCAAAACCAATCAAATTGAATGCAGCAATACGGAAAGAAGATTTTCTATGATTAATGTTTTAAACTGACCCCTGTGCCATTTGTACTGATAATCATTTTCCGGTATATTAGAGCTCAACTTAAATAAAAAGAATCGATTTTAAGCCATAAGTATTTAGGATCCTGCTGATGCGTTGTTACATTGCGCCATATTATACGCTAGTGAGTTACAAAAGGAATATTAAACGGTTAAAACAGAAAATATAGAAAAATATTAAACATAATAATTATGTTCAAGCTGTTTATCTTAAATAAATATATTGTTTTCTGTCGTTTGTTTTGTTCGTTGGGTCTACGTTATAATATCGTTATTACCCTTTGTTGATCTTACATTTTTATTCTTCAAATTTTCAAGACTATCTTTTGTCAATAATTTTAATAATTATCATAACAAAAAACTTTTAAACACTCTTATATCAGTAGCTTTTCTATAATATATATCATTACTTATTGTTTGTAGTAACTTGTCGATCAATAAGGTGCTTTAAACTTTAATTTGAAATTCGTAAGACGTCTTAAGTTCGTCCCTGTGTACCATTTTCCAAGGAGGCGAAACAACAATTATAGATGTAGATAATAAAGTATTTGTATAAACCTATTGTCTAATGTACATTTTCAGTCAAATGTGAAGGAAATGTACTGCTTTAAACTATCTTCCTTAATCATATTATTATATGTTTGTGCATATTGTAATTTTACTGTATACATAATGTACAAAATTCCCCCTTTTTCCTCAAGTATATTTGAAAAGTATCTATCTGGCCTTCAGATAATTGCTTTTTAATTGAAAGACACGTCAATCAAAACATTACTTACATACTTTAATACCGGCTTAACAGAAACAGGTGGTTCGTTATGAAATAGATTCGTAGCTAACGTTTTATCATTATCTTATTAATATTGTTTCTACATAACACTTAATTGTTTTTTGTTGCAAAATAGAATTAACATGATTGTAATGAGCAAAATATATTTCTAAATTTTATTTATGTTTTAGCATGCAAGTTTATCTGTGTCTGATAATTCATTTTATTTTTTTCAAGATAAAGATATTGTTTATGGTCACGATGCCTATATATGTTCATTTGATAAAGTAAAGGCTTTTTGACTGTCAGTAAAGCCTACGATAAATATGAATAGATTAGCCTTCAATTAGTATAACGTTGGTAGCGGGTTCTATCAGGAACCGGGTAAAACTAATACATGTACAGTAACTACTCATAGCGTTCAGTATTTATAGTTTCTAGAATAGACAATATAAGATCTCTTCCTTTTGAACGAATGTGAGCGCAAGTAAATATCTGCGACTCAATATTCAATGGGGAGGGGAATTGTTTGATTTTTTTCTTATTCTACTTTATTCATTGACAAGCAAAACCGCATTAACACACGATTTGATCATATTTTGTCTATTTGTAAATTCGATTATTCCAATATGAACACACTTGCTAATGTAAAATAACATTGAAATTCCAGAAATATTGACACCTTGTAAACTTACATAATTTCTTACTTTTTTCATGTTTTTTTTTTTTCGGTTTGATCAATTCGTTTTACATTATCCTTTTTGTTGACGATAAAATGGAAATAATATCGGAGTACATATTAATTCAATTGTTGTCTCGTGTGGAAATGAAACAAAAAAAAATGTTTATAATCAATGTAATATGCATTATTTATACATGCATAATCTTATAAAGTTTAATTCTACATAATTTATTGGTGCTAGTTGACAAGACTTTTTGTCGTTTGTTGTTGTTGTTGTTGTTGCTTTCAATTCACTATAATAGCTTGTATATTCTCTTAAACAGTACCTACGCCAATGTTCTTCCTTTTGAGTTTGAGGATTCAAAAAATAAAACAATAATATAAAATGCATGTTAAAATTACTGTCTGTGCACTTTTATGCTAGGTAAATATTTGTAAGCTTTTCTTAAATACATATTCATATTGCCAAAATGAAAATAAAAACGGAATAATGTTTTACAAATAACTGCAGAAAAAATAAAATGTCAACAAAACATTTCAGCTTAATATTAAAAAAAGAAAATACTAATGAATGTGATTACAATTACAAATTCTTTAGAAATTAGTTGTTATGCTACTTCTAAATCGCCTATTGACAAAAGTTTATTTTTTTTAATGATTACTTACTGCTTTGGTTATTCTGTTGTTTTTTTTATTATTTGTTCATACATATGATACAAGGGAATAAACACTTAAATAATATTTAAAAAAACCCAATCATTTTGTTTAAGTTTTGAAAAAAATAAATTTATAATTATAAATAATAATTTAATATCCTTACAAATATATGTCGTAAAAGGCAAATCAATTACGAATGTAACATTTTGCGTCACGAGAAATTGGTTAAACCATATTCTACATTTCGAAAATGTTTGGAAACCTGGCAAACAACTTCAGATTAATTGATTATCCTATCTCGAATGCATGTATCTCAAATATGTGTTTATATAAATAGGTAGACAAGCGCGTATGCGTGCAGACTTTATTATACTCAAACACTCAATTGCATAAGCAAGCATTGTTATTTGGGTTTGCTTCCTATTAAAAACATAATTGTTCAAAACGAGCTTAGACGTAACTTAATATGGCCTTTAGAAAATAAAATTTACATTTTAACATGTCTTTATTTCAAATACATATCAACAAACAAGTCTATTGGTGTCACATCTGTTTAAATATTTATTTCGTTTGCTTTTGTAGTATTAGATTACAATTATATTCGACGAAGGAATGGGCTTTGCTGTTTATAAAAGCTAGGAATGTGTGCAGATATTCTTTTTTTTTAATTTTTAACTAATATGTTAAAATGGAGGGTTATTAAGTCCACATTTGCGTGTATAGACTATATAAAGATTATTAATCTATAAGGGAATAAATATTTTTAAAGGACGACTGAATATAACGTGCGGATATTCACGTACTATAAAACTTTAAGGATTGTTATAATCCCGTGATTTCATAATAAATTTGAATATCTGCTAATTTAAAAATTATTAAATATTGTCATTACTTCATGGCTTGTTCAGAGTTTTCACAACTTTATAACGTCAATTTGTTTTATTAATCAACATGTATCTTACTTGTTTATTAATTTCGCTATTATATTTCTTCTGTTTTTCATCTGCAGTTATTTTTTCTCACATGAATAGTTCTGGGCAGTCATTTTATATTTAAGCCACATTTATATTTTATCGCAAAAATAATTATAAGGTTTAAACGTTAGTATTTTCATCATTCAATGGGACAATATAATTATATAATGAGTATCATAATATGACCCTGTACTAATACAAATGGTAATGTTATTTTACTGGCACCTCATAATTAGAGAAAGTGGTAACGCCTGCATAATTACCTGATTCAAATATAAGAGCATAAACGTGCATCTGCTTATGATCTTTTTCATCCTTTATAATTCCTTTCCAATATCAAATGTTGGTCAGTCACCATTACAATAGTCACTCTTGAAATAGGAGTCAATTCAGCTCAACTTGTTAGTATTAAACAAATGGGCATACTGTCAGTTAAACTTTTATAATTGACATATTACTTTATGGTTGTGGACGCTTAAGCTCTTTTGAATGTCTATTTATGCTTTGCACGCCATCATTAAAAATAGGACAGAGTTGTGTATAATTTATGTAAAGCTTGATTAAAGCTTCTAAAGCTAAACAAAGGTTTAAATTGGAAAACACAGCGCTAAATATTTATTGGCTTTATTTTCAGTATAAATCAGTTGTATTAGACCAAATATGACAGTCATTATACAGAAAATGAAGCGATTGTGCGAGGAAAGAATAAGACAAGAACCCCCAATGTCAGGTAAGATTATATATGCAATCAACCGGTTAAATTGAACCGTAAAATAGTGAATACCATTTAATTTTCAAGTAATTTCTTTTTTTTATTTGTCCTATCAGGTATCATAATATCTATATCTATTTGTTATTAATTTTCAATAAAATTCTGTCAATGATTTATATAGAATAATGCCTATAATTATCTACATTATTTTATTGAATTTAAAGCTTCTTTTTTCGACATCTAGATCTTTGCTTGTAAACTTTTTATATCAATGAAATATGCACTTATATCATTAGATTTTGGTTTCATTATAATTAGCAAGGGTAGACTCGATTTCTAACATAGAATACTAGAACTTATGAGAGCTAGACAAAACTCATCCATTACAGACACTGTTACCGTGATGCTTTATATGAATCAACTCCAGAAAAATAGATATTATGTTGGTAATATACAATTTTAAACAATTCATTATTCCAACATTGACAGCATGAAATATAGAATCATCAAAAAGTATACAAAAATGATATAAGATTGTTTCTACTTCCAGTCATACTGACAATTTTATTGACCCACTAGAGTGTGTATATTTTAAAGTTCTTTTTTACTTCTCTAGGATTATACTGTAAGGCGACATGGGATGGTGCCATGTGTTGGGACTTTACATCAGCGGGTTCCACAGCAATACAGCTTTGCGCAAAATATATCCGAAGTTTTAATCCAACAGGTATATAACAAACACTTGATAACTACTTTAAAAATTTAAAATAAGTAATCATGTAAAAATTGAAGCGTTATATCATGTTATTCTTACCTCTTTCTGAACTTGAACATGTCACATATATTAATGGTGATACAAAACAAAAACTGCTGGCCATATCAACAATATAAATAATGTTGTTTTGTTGTTTCTTTGTGTTTTTTTAGCTAATATTTATTCTAATCAAAGAATAAATTAATGATACAATTTACAATTCAATTTACCTGCCAACAAAATGTTGTTTGATTAATATATCTTTGTTTATCTCCACAAACCTGAGACATATTGTGCTATGATTTCTCAAACTGAATCAAAGAGAGATTGCAAAGATTTGAACTTTAAGATTTGAACATTGTTTGCTTTGCCCTTAAAAGATTAAAGTTTATACTGTATTGCGCATTTTTGATACCAGTTTTGATATTAACAATGATGTTATCCATGAGACGGCATAAGTAGGAATCGATACATTTGTATTCTAAAAACTATGGTTTGCTTTCAGTTAATATTGTTTCTAATCAAATGAGCAATTCCCTTCTAGAATTAAAATAGTAAGCAGTTTAAAATTGTACAGGTTTGGTGTATCAGATACAGAAATAAATCAGACTAGCTGAGCACATATAAAAAATATTTTTCAATTTTTTAAGGCCGAAATATCACATTACGCAGTGACATAAATCATATACAACAAAATTTTATCAATTATTTTTTATTAAGATAAAAACATCAGTTTAAATGTGTTTGAATATCGATTTTCCGGTTGAAGAATGTAGTTTGTTTTTTATTCACACACCAATGATATTATTGTTCTGTTACATGTGGGAGAAAATACTCTTACGCAAAACTTAATATTTCCCTAGATCTACCATTTCTAACATCATATATTAATGAAATTAAATATCATATGCAATTCATATTACATATTGTTTAAGTGACATTATCCTCATATTTTAGCAGTTAAGTTGAGTTAAATAAGTGATTTATTTCAAGTAAATGTCCAATTATAATTAAATATAATTATGATAAGATATAAGGAAAACCTTACGTTAGCCTTAAAAAGGACTGACCAACTATCTAAAAAAAATAAACGTTACCAATTTCGAATGATTGGATAGAATGTCGGTGGATTACGTGGATTATCAATTATTTTTGCAAAGTTAAATAAACAATTAACACAAGTTTGTGTAAATGTAATTAAAAGTTATTTTGACCTTTACCTGTGCACCCAGCATTTTTACAAAATTTTAATCCAGAAAACATTATTTGAATAATTGAATAATTATTGTGCAAAGTGGAACTATTGCACTGACTGACATTGTCTGTCGTCTTTTTAATGATATAGATGGTTTGCATAGTTAAAATACAAAATTTGTGTAAAATGTAATTAAAAGTTTTTTTGAACTCACCTTTTACACTTTCATTAGCAAATTCAGCAACTTTATTTGAATAATTGAATATTTAAGTAAAGTAGACCTATTGCCCAGACTGACATAGTCTGTAGTCTTAATAATGATATAGATTTCCTTTATATTTATTCAATCATTGACTAATTGTCTGAGATTAGTTTTATATATTTGAAACTGTCAGTGATATTTTCCAAGTATCTGAGCCAAATCAGATCGGTCGCCAATCAATATCGCGAAAATCGGTCAAATTGACGGCTTGAAATTGTAAGGCAAATTGTAAATTTCCTGAAAACTACGCTTACCTTGAAAACTTAACTTGCAATATATGCCAATTATTTAAAAATCTGTCTAGTTTGCGAATCTATTTTAATTCTACTTTTCATTTACACGTTGATGTTTTATCTGACTATGTTTCACTTTTGGTTGCCTGTCATTTACATACCCAATGAAGAAATATATTTAATGTTCTTTTTTGCAATGATTTCTAGGAATTTCTACTTTACTCGGATTTCCTTATTCAAATTTAAAATTGAAATATTTTTGTTAACTTTGATTAGCAAAAGCAATACTGATATCGACTATACGTGTGCCATACTAAGGACATTTGCATACATTACGCTTAAAACAACTTTTGCAAGAAGCATTCAAAAGGTTTTATTCTAAGCGTTTGCGTATACCTAATGTTCTAAATTGTTTCAAACTATTAATTTCCCATACCGAATACTATCACTTTTGCATGTTTGTTATTTAAATATACCTTGATAATTCTTATAAAACGTTAATGAGCTTTTTCGTTGATTACGCAGAAATATTTTATTTTCACTTTCCTAAAGGGACTCTTAATGGCTATTATATATGGAGGAAGTATTGTGTTATGACTATTAAATTTATATTCCTTTGTTGAACATGAAAATACTGTGTTCAATATATACTTTAACCAAACACTTTTCTAATTATAATTCATTAATTAAGGGAATATGCTTGATTTATCAAAAGTAGATATAAACATTGTTTATGATTGTATGTTGATGAATTTGTATTGGGAATGGTTACATATACTGGATAATAAATTTGTTTCAATACTGACAGTTGTTGTCGACAAACCAATAACAATGTCTCAAACGAGCATAAAGTTTGAATTAACTACGAATGCTCCGACACCGTAACTTCATAAATTTAGATTAGTTTGGCGGTATTTATGATAGATTAAACGAACTTGTTTAAAAGCAACACGCTTTGCATTTCATTTTTGTGTTCGGTTGACGAACCAGAATAATTAAATTGCAACATATATTTCTCATTTTACTTTGATGTTTGATACCATTATTTTAAAGTGTATGTTAGATGACATTACGTGCTTTTGAAATAAAGCTATAGAACCAAATGACACAAAAAAGAATAATAAAAAGGGTTAAAGTATATCGGACAAATATTTTTATTTTTGGTGAAAGAAGACTTTCAGACGACATGTGCTAAAAATTTATTGCGTTACTGAAAAAGAAGATCATGATTTTATTTTCACGAGGTTTTTACCAGATGAATGTGTTAATGTGTGTTAAACTGACACATATCTAAAATTCAATAGTTACATTAACTCATACATGTATCTTAAAGAAATAATGGCTGTTTTATGGAAAAAAATAATATCGGTATGGTGTTTTTAAATAATTTTCATACATTTAATATTACTATATTTCTAACACAATTGAAACGTCTGTTCGAGTTTAACCTCCCGCTTTTCTCAGAAAAAAAACTAACGTTCTGTATTTCCGATTACCTAACTGACAGCAGATCAAACAAAATGTTTTATCATCTATTGCATCTCCAAATATTTCAAAATATTTTTTTTTCGTTGGCAACAAGAACAATTTATCTGCAACGGTGTCAAGATAAGAATCATCTCGCTTGAATTTATAAGATATCAATCAGAATATATATGGAATGATCATGCAGATCTAAAGAATTCTGTGCCAAGTCTTACTCCTTGTTTACTTTATCATCATAATGAAGATAGATGGCTGGCAATTATTGATTTGTTTCATTTCCGGAAATCATCGGCAAATATGATAATGTTTCTATTATTTACACTGTATACGAAAAAGAGAGAAAAAACCGGCTGCGTGGACATTGTAATTCATTGAACACTGGCCTCATTTCCCTGGAAATACAAACCGATAATTTGTTTGAAAACCAATATAATATGTTTGTCAGAGTCGTTGCAGTTGTAATATATGCCTATATTTTTGTTATAATTTTGTAAAGCTGTATGATATCTTAGATAAAACAAACACCCTACAAAACGTACAACGGAACTTCAGGTGTACTGCATGCATTGTTCTACATAAACGTTTCTGAGTTTCCATATAACATGATTAAAATACAAAACCGTTTATAATTGCAAAAGTACTTCAATAGATAGGTCACCTACAGAATTGACATAATTGTTTTATGTGCAAAAATCATACGACGGATTTTATCAGCTGAATTAATATCATTGGTATAACAATAACATAATTTTATATTAATACTGACATTATTTCATTTCAACTTACAACAGAGATACAATGGCAACGACGACGCAATATAAACTCACGCTTACATATAGCTATTTCAATTTTGCTATTTTAGAATATGCGACACGAGAATGTTTGCCAGATGGTACATGGAAACCAAACTTTGTAGAAACAAACAATACGATTGGTTGGACCAATTATACAAATTGCCTTAGCAATAACCCTAAACCCCAGCTTCCGATAGACAAAAATGTAAGTCCGTGTTTATTCTAATAGCGCACAAAATGTATTTTGATTCTTGAGTTTGAGCAAGGATACTTGAATGTCATTATTAAAAATTAAAGATCACATCTTTTTCATCATTATATTTCTGTACATGATCCAAGACAAATTCGGTTCACATTCCTTTCCGTGTTATGTGTTAAATATTGGCATAATGGCACGCACAAAGTTTTATAATTAGAGCTTATAGTTTTTAAGAGGCCTAAAACAGATATTTGCAAGACAATATTGTATGGTTTCTTTTAATATACTTGTCTTGTTTTGCAAAATTAAATCGGTCACTGACTTCGTCCTTTTTATATAAGAACAATGTTGTTTCTGGACAAAAGCCTTATTCAAACAGGGAAAGCTTGAGCAACTTAATAATGGACATGGTGTCTTGTGTTATTTTAAAAAGCAACAAAAGGCAAAATTAAATGAAGTTACTCAGTAAACGAACCAAAATGTTTTGATGAAAGCAAAATAAATATGATAATATAAACATATTGAAAAACATACTTTAAGAATCAAAGTTAAAGCCTTTCTTCTGTTTGTTTAATATGAGAAAAGAGTTCATTTTGCTTTCAAATGAATAAACTTAACAACATTTATCTTACATTTTAGAATCATATACCACGTATACAACTGATGTCAGAGATAGGCTACGGAATATCCTTGGCATCTCTTATCGTAGCTGTAACAATTATGATAGCGTCAAGGTAACGGAAGCTCACCTTCAAAAATCGTTTTGATATTCTTATTTTTGATAACACTGTCAGATGATATTTACTCAGTTATATTAAGAATGCATATCAATGATTTTTGTTCAGTTCTTAAATCTCGTTATTTGATTATATCACATAAAATACATTGAAATTACATGACACGGAGAAAAACAAATAATCGAAACAGCTACACAGGCAAGCACACAAGCTCAAAAGCTTATGATATTTCATTAATTTAATAACATGGAAAGTGAATATTAAATTATAAAATATTTTGTTTGTATTATACATTTCTATTTTCAAATGCATAAAAAACTTCCTTTGTCGTCACAATTTTTAACCCCAGAAAAAAGTTACTAATGTACGAGCATCTAAATATGGCTTTTCTATCGTATTCTCTTTCCCTGTCGTCACAATAAGTAAAAAAAGAGTAAATGAGAATCCCTAAAGAAAAGCCCAACACGTCAAAATTGAAATGTTGCAGGCTCGGTTTGATTGAGCATGTTCATGGACGATACTGCCAAGTGCAAACTACCGTCCACGCCCCCTAGCACCGGCTTAAGCAGAATTCAACATTTAAACATATGGTGAAAATTTTGAATTTAGAAACATTCGAAGATGTGTTATACGGCGGTTATCATGGAACCTTCAATGTGACACAGTATTGCTATTCCATAAAAAGCGGCGTATGGTCCCCAAGTTATAAAAAGCGTGTGCCCTAAACGAGAAAACAATGGGCGGAACTAAACAAAATTGAATTTTGAAAGGGGTCAGAGGTTATGCAGCCTGTTTATCACAGATAAGACGTCAAAGGACCAAAGAAAAAGGAGCTTTCGACAAGCATGCTTTTGACTCCAGTTAACGCACAGTGTATGTTTTGGTATGCGATTCATCTCTGACACGTTATCAATAGAAAAGTCTCCAAATTATGATACGATAGTCATTGATTGTTTATTATGTAGCATTCATTGTTGAAAATAGTACATGTCTATCTGGTTGTCTTTCAATACCGTTTTAAGGTGTTCCTTATAATAACCTATGGGTGTTTTATTTTCAGACGGCTTCACTGCAAAAGTAACGTGCTACATATAAACCTATTCTGTGCATTTATTCTACGAGCTTCGGTTTCTTTTCTAAAATCGTTAATCTTTGTTGACGATATTGGTTTAGAGAAAGACATCATTCGAAATCCAGGAGGGACCATAGAATTTAAACAAGACGGACTGGTAATAGCATTCTTACAATATTTGTTGAAAATGACCCATAAAAGTGCATGTAAATATTTTGCAATATAACAGAATTACTTTTTATCACCAGGATATTACATGTGTTCTTATCAAAAGCTTTAAATAAAAGAATGGATTTCGGATACTTGTTTCATTAAATCATTAATTCTGGAATCAATAATTCCACTTTTAACAAATGCACAAAACATTAAATATTTCTCCTCTTAATCTAAATTGTACCTGTATTTTTAACATTAGTAACTCGTGTATGATTTAATGATTTAATTATTTTGTTAGTATTTTTATACTCCAGGATATAATTCATTTAGTATATAGTTCTGTTTTATTATGTCCTTTAAGTATTTTTGTTGTTAATTCACACTAGTTTTCACCATCAAATTAAATTTACTATATGTTATTTTTTTAGCATTGGGAATGTAAGTTGATAGTGAGTATATTTATGTATTCCGTGGCGACTAGTATGATGTGGATCTTGATGGAGGGACTATATCTACATATGCTTGTATACAAAACATTATTTACAGAAAGACATGGTACACGCTTATACGTGTTATTCGGTTGGTGTAAGTAATAAATAAAAATAAAAGTAATTAAAATAAAAGTAATTTAAAAATAAGTTCTGCTATTTGTTATTTCTAATCGTTCAAACGTTGAAAGTAACACTATAATACTATGTAAAACGTTCCAATATAGTTTATTATATAACTTATTCATTCTCTTTACCTTCAAATTATTCACAAAGTCCAAAATGCATTTTTGAACAGCCACTAAAATAAACGTACCCTTAGTTTAGTTATCAATGTGTAAAACCTTACTCTTATGTTTATTTCAGTATCCTCTTTCACTTACATAATACCTTGGATTGTAGTACGAATTTTCAAGGACAACGAGCTGTAAGTTGTTCCGAATTAATTTAGTTTTTAGTTCAAGTCATGTTAATTTAATTGCCTGCTTATTTTATGGTTTTTCTTTGTATCAGTAAAAACGTTGTGAATAGGTAATTTATTTGACAGTTTGTAGACATTTGCTATACTGTTTTCTATAAAGGAGTAAGATTTACTTATTCAAAATTGTAGTTTGCCTTAACAGATTCAAAATGATTTCTTCAATAAATTGTGTAAGGTGTTATATGGTTTTAAATGTTTTTCCTTTATTTCAAATATTTAGGTGTTGGAATCGCCAAAATACCGGTGGCTATTTTTGGATCATTAAGGCACCAATGCATATTTCTATTCTTGTAAGTTTGCTAACATTTTCCTGCTTAAACACATTAAGACATCTCATCAATATTTATTATAAATTTACCATGTTTTATCTCTTTTATGTCAGCCATAGCATAAATCATTAGAACAACTGCGTAGAATTATATACTCTTTCAATTTGTCCAAAAGTCCAAAAAATTTAGTGATTTTACATTTCAATGGTTTGAATTTAAAAAGACATAAACTTCTTCATAAATAAAGCACTCAAGGATGGTAATACTGCGTGATTAAATTATATAGAACAATGAGTATACTTATTAAATTTCACAATGATTCACAATGATTTGATATTTTGTTTCTCTCTACAGATCAATTTTCTATTTTTCATCAATATTGTAAGAGTGCTATGTGTAAAGTCAAAGTTAAGCCGACATGTCAAAAGTGATGCAAAGTACTGGAGGTAAGACTACACAGAAATAATTCCATGGAATTTCTACCTTATAACCTATGTATACCGGCGCCTTCTAATAAATATTCTACAAATTATTTTCGTGTTTTAAATTACAAATAATTATTAATTTTACAATAATTTTCAGACTATATTTACTGTTTTCGTATATTTATTCCTTGAAATGTATATCACTATTTGTTTGTGTACATTGCAGATTAGATCATTTTGTTTATTGTAACATTTTTTTACTCAATACATAAACGACTAGAAATGAAAAAAAAATATTAGTAATAAAGACAATATAGCTACTAGACGAAATATCGCTATTCAAAATCTTGACATGTTAATAACAAACGCAATAGCTGCAGATTACCTTTAGAAAATATGAAATGAACATTTAAGCAGCTATAAGTGATTTTAAAGTGAGAGCACTGACATTTTCTTTCCGCTTTGATTTCTTCCATGACAACGTTTTTTTTTTTAATATTAACAACAATAAGACAAACATTTTACCGAATTAAATTTCATTCGTAGTCAATCAAGACTGATATGAAATATATAAATCTAACTAATTTGTAAGAAATATGAAACAAATGTATGAAATATCCAAAATACTAGAACACGATCCTTCTATTTACAAATGAAATTATTATATATTACAGGAAGACTGCCAAGTTTGTTTTGGTGCTTTTACCACTCTTTGGGGTGGTATATATTGCGTTTAACGCTTACCCGGTTGGTGTGTTTAGTATGGAAGCAGATTTCATGTATCTGTATTGTGAAATGTTTTATAATTCATTCCAAGTAAGTTATCTTCAGAATACAAGTAACATAATGTGATGTGAATACATATTTGCAATAGATGATTATATAATAATAGTTACGTATGATTTGATTGAGTAATAAAAATATATTCTTCTTAAGGGAACTTGTGCTTAGAATATTAATGTTGAATGGAATAAATATATTAATTTGTTAAATTTGTAAACGAGCCAAAATTAAAAACGCCTCATATTTATTTTAGCGAGGTATTTCCAGTAAGAAATAATATACTTATAAGAAAAATACTATTAAGAATCAAAATATTACATTTATTTATCTTTTTTTTTTGAAAAATCAATTATTTGTTTCCTGAATCCTGCTATAAAACATTTTTGGGGTCAATTATAATTATAATTTTGTATCAGTGTTCAGGTTCATATAAAGTATATAACATCAATTTACTTTATTGAGTTATACTAACAACAAATAGAGTCATATTCATAAAGTGAGGCATTGCAAAGATCCCTCACCTGTATAATTCTAAATATTTGATGTGTGGATTCAGAAAGAATTGCATCACATCATTTTGTGGAAAAAGATACGCATAACACTGTTTTGTTAAATCTATTAAGAAGGGATATATCATTAAATAAAGCATATATTAAATGAATAAATTAAAAATGCTTTTTGATGGTATATTTTCTATGTCAGGAAAGTGTATAACTACTTACATAGTTTGTTTCATTTTACGCCTTTTCCCAACAGTATTTCAGTCATATAGGCGGGTAGTTTCCTTACCATCGTTCCTGGAGAGTTACACCAGTATTAGACTACCTTCCTCCGTGCTACTTACATAGAATTCTGAGGAAAATATTGGTAACATATGTAACAAATAATATCAATACTTATCCGAGTCTGTATTTAACGATACAAATGATTTTTCTCTTTTTTCTTTTCAGGGATTTGTTTTAGCTTTGTTGTTTTGCTTCCTAAACGAAGAGGTAACTATTTCTTTTCTTTTTTTGGCTTTTTTACAATTTAATCCAGAACAATGTGGCTCTTATCGGAGAGCAAATGGGTTTTTATATTTGTGTCATATTTCTTATGACTTTTTGAACGAGTTTCTCATTTTCACAAGCATGCCTATGTTGCTGAGTTCTTAAACATTTCGTCTGTCTGAATAAAAATGAATCAAAGTTAAATTGTTTCATTTAAACGATTTTGTTGAAAACATGAATATAAGTTACTTTTATGAGACATATTACATAAAGTCGTTAATACGATGCATATAATGATTGATATGAAATGTGTTTTCAAAGATTCTTACAAAGAACTAGATTCTTACTTCTTTATGCCTAATGCTTGAAAAAGCTGAATTGTTAAATAATATGTAAATGTTTCTGTGTTAGAATTACCAATAAACTTATATTCTTATTAAAATCGTATTATGCAGGTACAAAATGAAATACGAAGATGGTGTTTCAAACGCAGATTAAATTCATACAACACTCGTTCCATTTTACTTTCTTCTTGGCGTAAATCGTCACGGAGAATGTCACGTGATACGACACGTGATACCCGTATCAGCAGCGACTGCACTATTCACCCAAACGGCACATGTACTGATACTGCAAATTTGAAATGTGTGCAAGAACATGTCATGGCCACGGAAAAGTCGTTGCAACAACAAAAGAGAAGTTCAATACTTATCATGGCAAAGTAACATATGACTGTTTAAAGGTTGAACCTCACAATTTTGGGGAGGGTGAGGTTTTAAAAAGTTTTGTGTTTAAAGCAAATTTGACCTTGTAACGGAACCGGTTTTTGCTGGCTAACCATGGCTGAAAAGCACGAACTCATTACCTAGGTTGTTTTGGAAAGCTTGAAAAGTATCAATTGATAAACCAATTGATAACAGAGATGAAATATCACTCATGCCGTATATAAAAAGGAGGGGTAAAACCACGATTTAATATTCATATACCCATTGAAAGGGTAAAAATCTTTTATCTATAGAAAATATTGGTAAACTTTCCATTCCTTCCACTTAAGAAAAACATAGCAGAACATTTACCCACTACTAAGCCATTTTTTTACGTAACGATTAGTTTTTGTAACGAAAAATTAAGTAAAGTTAGTTCTCTTTAAAAATTGTTATATCATTTATTTAAATGGGAAACTGTAAATATTTTTACCTGCAGCCATATAACAAATGCATAAGCTTTCAGGAAAATGTATTTATTTTCTCTTGATTTCTGATATTGGTTAATAAGTTTTTTACTTGCTACAATAGTTAATCAAGTGACATTTTTAGTCGATTTGATACTGTTAAATGTAATTACTACGTAGAATGTAGGTCTTACATCTAAGCATCGTTAATTTATCTCATGTCAGCAAACTTTTAATTTGTATTTTTTCAAAAGTGATCTTTGCTATGACAACCACAAATGAAACTGCTATTTCCTTCATTAGTTACTGCATTATATTATTAATCATTTAAACAGTTTTGTGTAATATTTCTGTCAAAAAGAGCTGATTAATTAAATTAAGTACTGTTTTTTTTCTCTTTCTTTTTTTCCTATCTCAACTTATGTTATTATATCAACTGAAATAGGTCCATCGGCTCCCTGGACCTTTTTGAAAGAAACAACCTTGACAAGTAAACGGGAACTATACAACTGGGACCAACTGTTAAAACCTCTTGTTCTTCGCATTTTAATATAGAGCATTGTGCAGAATATTGCGTTACTGCATTTATTTATATACTTTTTGTATATTTCATTACTATTCTTTATAGAAAATAGGTATACCAACCTTCTATATATCATTGCGTAAGAAAATATACTACGCACAAAGAGAATTGACAAAATTACTTTAATATTAAGAAGTTTTGTAAGACACGTCAAACTATGTCAATATTCATAACAAAAATCCAATCAAGACACGCTCTTTTTATAAACAGTTTGTAGATTTCGACTGACTTTATATATTAAATAATAACATTTTATCCTGACAGTAAAGAGGTTGGAAAGCAAATTTCAATAATAGCCTTCGTTTATCTTTAGATTATTTTTACTGATAATAATGTTAAATGTACGAGACAATATAAAATCATTTTATACCATAAACATCAATGCATCTCAATAGTTGATTGAAATCACTTAGGTATAGAGGCATGACGGTTGAGGCACTCAGCAAGCGTTGTTAAGAGGTACAGATTTAAAATATAATAACAGCAGTACAGAAATGACATAAACATTTGACGTAAGAGAAATAATAAAATTTAGTCTTTATACTGTACTTTACTTTATGCTTTGCTGATGTAAGGCATCGCTATTTTATGCGTTTATCCAATATGATACATCCAAATTATATCATTATTAAGTAATATTATAACAAATATGTCAGTATATCGATACGTTATTTTTAGATAATGAATTGGATATAAATACATAATTGATGTCGAAAATGTGGAAAGTTAAAATACAGAAGCACTTGACTGAATCAAATATTAATCAGCAAGTTTTAAAAGGCAACTGTAGGCAGACCAAACAACGAGGAATTCTCAAAACAAGATTATAAGCACCGTCAGGCAACAGTGTTGACTTATTGATCTTTTGATTTCGAATTAGTGATCCATATTCAGCGTTAAAGCTTAGACTTTCAATTAATTTTGTTGGAGGTGGTATCGTTCTGAAATTTTCTTGGACGATTTACAATGAACATGTTATGTACATAGTTAAATAAGGTGTATTCTGATATTAATGACCTCTTGTTTGAAGTGAAAAGCGAGAAGGAAAAAAACACACCTCTTTAATAGACTAATGATATACTTGATAAATTATTAGCTTACTATTTGGAACAAATAACAAAGGGAAGGATATCAAGCCACGTTAGAAATCACTTTATTTAGATAGATCTTTGTACGAACATAAAGCGGATATCCACCAACCCTTTGAAGTTTGGCATATCATATCTTTACAAAAACATAAAAGCCCGATAGCGAACTAACTGTTCTAAAACGAAACGTATAACTTGACTTGCATCTTTTAGCAAATCTATAGATATGTTTAATTTTTATAACAATAACTTATCCAGGAAGAAATAAAATCAATATGGTTTCATCTTCAAAGGTATTAGTAAAAGTTTGGCAAAATGAAGATCCGACTGAAGCAATAAAAATAAAATTAAGGTTGAATATAAACTTTCGGTACTATGCTTTTATTACACTTCGTGTTGCTTTTGACAATAATTTATCTTAATATAAAAAGAAACTTTGCAAGCAAACATTGACATTCATTGCATATTATATCTTTTAAAAATACGTGCGAAAAAAACATGTAGTAACATACTCCTGAAAAATACGTTTGTTACTAGCTTTCTAACACAGTTCAGATTCTTTTCTTTCTTGAATTTCCAGCGGCCTCATTCGCCATCCAACATGTTAAGACTAAGATGTTTCGTGTTGTTTTCAATATTTACGCTATAACGGCTTTCAGTCAATTAATTATTAAGAACTTAACAAGCTAAATAAAATGTACATTCTTATATTTACTGTTACAGATTTCAATAGTTCTCCATCAAATTGATACATCACTCAAAAGAATACATCGTTTTACTAGCATTAAAATAGTTACAGCTATCCGGTTAACTGAATTCGCAGTGCAATTTTATTTGAGTAATTATATCATTTCGTATTATTTTTTATTTTTTACATACCCATCAAATCTTTGAATCTTTCTTTCTGATACTATTATATATCTATATATAGACGCTGTTTAAATCTAATACACAACAACAACAAAAACACAAACGCGGAAATATTGTTAGAGATGAACATCAATGGTAAAACATATAATTATGCTTATCTATTTAAAAGTTAGATTTTGTATCATTTTTGATACATCGTAACAAAAACATTACGTAAGTATTGTCTCGCGCTTTACTATTTTTAGAAGACCTATTCCCACATTTTTCCGTTACCTACACACTACATCGTATTGTTTCATCTTTTTTCAACGTATTAAAATTAATTGTCATTTGGTGTCTATAACTGATATTACAACTGACTAATGTTATGTTGGTTCATTGTGTCGTCCTATAAAACCAATATGCTTAATGTTGTTCTTTATCATTAATTATCTTAGTAATACATTACATTAGCACGTAACCGCCTCCGTGGTCAAGGAGTTAAAGTCGATGTCTTCTAATCCAGTTACCTCTCTGACGTGGGTTCGATCCCCGGGAGATGCTTTGATAGTTTAGCACGGATGAAGGTAGTCTAGTACTGGTGTAACTCTCCAGGAACGATGGTTAGGAGTCTACCCGCCTATATGACTGAAATACTGTTGGGAAAAGATGAAACAAAAAAAACAACAACAAAAAAAACATTAGCACGTTTTCTGTCATTTATGTAACGTGACAATATTTGCCCACTCGTGATCGATTCATAATCTTTTTCTTCCATGTATCCTTTATTTCAGTTTAATAAGTATATGTTAAATTTGTTCATATGAGAATATTTAAAAGGACATTTTGCCTAACAGTGTCATCAAATAAAAAGCGCTACATGAAATGATGCCCTAGAAATAGTTATACATGTGCATAACATACCATGTCAATTTGCTTTATAACTTATTCAGTATTAATGATACACATTAACCATATACGTATGATATAAGCAAAGTGCAAAAACACATTTAGGGATCGTATTTTAATTGAGCATTTAAATGTTTAAAAAATACGACAATTTACTTGTCATGTTCACTTTATTGCACAGATGGAAGGCTCATTTATAATTGATTACATCAAATTGTCACGAGTTTCTACTCTGTGAACTGAATATTTATTCTTTCAAAACAACAAGATAAAAAATCAAAAAGAAAATCAGCAAACAATAAAAGTACAAACGAACAAGCAAAACAACAGAAAACAAAAATAAATGATTTTACGTACAAAATTAAAGATTCCAAGTAAAGCACGGTTAAGATTCCAAGTAAAGCACGGTTATAGACAAATGATAGTTACTAAATACACTTGTCATAAAAAGTAGGAATCGAGAAAACAGCATAGTTTCTAAATGTTGAAAAACGTTTTAAGATAAAGGGGTTTCCTGCATTTGCAAACAATATATGTATTTACTTCTTGTGTCCACGCTTGAACAACTATCATAATACAAAATGATATAAGTGTCTATGCTTTTAAAGAACGCTGTCGCTTGACATAAATCAGTTGTATATTTCAAATGATTGACTCTTTTGATGGGGATTGAACAATAATTGAAGGTAACAAACATTAAGGATAAAATATAAAAAATGCTAGGCTCTTGTGAATTGAGCATAACCAATAATTTCTGAAAGAAAATAAATAGATATTTATGTGGGTCGAGGGGTTATAAAGTGAAAACAGGAATGACAAATTAATATTTTAGTTTGATTTTACGTGAACACTTACCAATAACGTGTGGATGGGCATAATCAATATATAAATAATTATCACTTTGACGACCTAACACGATCTGCATTGTTATATTGTAGGACACAGTAAAATACTGACGAATGTGTTATGTAATATTCCTGTATATAAAAGTTCATTACAATATCCCTAATAAATTATTGGTATCATAATATATAAAGCATGTTTTGTCAAATGTATGAAACACAATGAAAACCGACACAATTCTTAAAATATTAAGACAGTCATTTCAATGCTGTCATGTAACAA